CCTCCTTCTCTCCCTTTCTTCTCTTCCTTTCTTCTTCCTTCTGTTTCTCCTGGGATAAGAGATTAAAACAGTGAGTGGAAGAGAAGGGAGAGTGATCCTCACTTACATGGCTTAAAGAAGTAGTCCTTTGGATATTAAAATAGACAGTTAAAATCATCTCATTCTCTTGTTTCTTTTTTTTGTGATTAGGGCTTTTAAGTTTTCAAGTTCAAAGGGTGGTGAGAACCACAGCCCAGAAAACAGAAGTCCTCTGTGCGCCCTCCCAGCTCTAACACACTGGATGATTTTAGGCAAATTTATCTTGTACCCTTTTCTACTTTTAGTGAAGTAGAAGTGTTCTTCCTTATCTTGACAGTAAGAGATATTTGAAAACTTAATTGAACCAAATCACTTCATTAAACACATGAGTGCTAGACATTGTGTTAGATAGAGAGAGAATAAAAACCAACCGCTCCATCACTTAAGTCAACAAGTACAGACCACGTATAGATAAGAGGGTTGTCCTTGAGGGCTTACTGTCTTGCTGAGTTTGTTGCACGTGGTCTTGGGCTTGAACTAGATGGCTTATTGCTATGCTCTACATGAGGTTTGGGATTTGTTAGGGTGTGGTAGCACCTCCCATTTTGGTGACTTTTTCCATGTGGTCTTATCTCTGGTGAACCCTCCTTGCCTGCCCTACCTTTTGATCTTATGTGGTGGTTCCATGATGCTGTTCTCTTGGCTCCTTCTCTTGGCAAATATGGGGATGGAGAGGGTATAGAATTCAGCCATTCTTCCTCCCTTCACCTGTGTGTGGGTGTGTGTGTGTGTGACTGAAGTGCAAATGAGTGTGGGTGTTATACAAACATGTTAAGATGAGTTGACATTGTACAAGTGTTAGAAATACTTCTTTCTTATTTATAAAATTTATACCTTGCTGGGCACCAATGGCTCACGCCTGTAATCCTAGCTACTCAGGAGGCTGAGACCTTAGAACCATATTCAAAGCCAGCCGGGGCAGTGCATGAGACTCTTTATCTCCAATTAACCACCAAAAAGCCAGAAGTGGAGCTGTGGCTCAAGTGGTAGAGTACAAGCCTTGTGCAAAAAGCTGGGAATACCTCCCAGGCCTTGAGTTAGTTCAAGCTCCAGTACTGGCATGAGTGCACACACACACACACCACACACACACACACACACACACACACACACATGCACACACACAGAGTCACCTCTAATTTCTTTCTCTGGTTATCCCTTGTCTGCTATCTGTTCTCTTAAAATTCTGTCGCTGCAGAATATTTGTGGCCTCATAGGAGAAGTACCCCATATCTTTATGTCCTGAACATTTGGCTTGTTTAGATTCACAGCACAAGCATAAGTGTATTCTTTCTGCCTTTCCCTGGGAGCCCAGTTTTCTGCCCATACCACCTAAGAAAGGGTAAACATTTTATTTTCCTTCTTTGTAGGGTATCTTAGTTACTGTACTGTAAGTGTGGAAATCAGCTAGAAACTGAATTTTCACATTCTCTTGCACAGTTACATTCTTCCTCCAGAGATAAGAAAATTGCATCAACCTGCACTGGGCTCCCATGGCAACTTGTTAAATTAGGTCGAGATGTGGGGGCAGATAACATGGCTGGAAAGCCTGCCTCGTGGCTGAGTTAAGAATACATCAAATGCAATGGTGGCTTCCGCCAAAATGTACCTCCTTACCTTACTGTGAACTGCTTACGGTTAATCAAGCTGATACCATCAAAAAGCTCCATTTTCTCTTGTTCAAAGATACATTCTGAACCCCTTTCTCATTACAACGTAGTCCGAGAAAGGTAGCCCAAATGTCTTTGGTATATTTGCTAGACCTCAGCAAAAGACTTTGCTCACCTTTCTAAAATGTCCCCGGTTTTGTTTCATTTGTTTTTGGTTTTGTTCTTGAATTTTTCTAGGGATAAAATAATATACTGGATTATCAAATCATATTCTCCCTCTCTCTGCCCCTTCTGCCCCATTTTATTGATGGTGAGACGGAGGCATGCAGAAAATGATTTACTCAGCACCATGAAGTTGCATTCTGCATAGCCAGGACATTGAATCTAAAGTGCCACATGTATGGCCTGAATGCATTGTCTGTCCATCATTTTTAGGAATAGCCCTTGGATATCTCATCGCCATTGCTTCCAAGAGGCTGAGTACCTTGCCAGCCTCCTGTCACTAATTAACACTGTATTTGTGTAGACTGTGTAGGAGAGATTCAGTCCAGAGTTCCTGGCCTGTGAATCACCTTTATTGAACTTGGTTCCAGATTGTCAGACATAGCCACAGATAAGAGTCCATTCCTATCATTGCTGCAGTTAAGGTGTGGGTGTGGTAACAATGACCTTGTTCATGTCTAGTGGGGTCTGCCTACCCTTTGAGTTGCAATTATGAATGAAGTACTTTCCTTTTTTACCTGAAGCCTGCAAGACTTTAAGCCCAAAGCAGTTCATGAATTGCCACAACATTCATTATGTTTTATAGTATGTAGGTTTGGGGCTAGTGCATAGATTTAGGACTATCTAGAATTCAATAAATACATATTGTGTGTGTGAGAGAGAGAGAGAGAGAGAGAGAGAGAGACAGACAGACAGACAGAGAGACAGAGAGACAGAGACAGAGAGAGACAAAGACAGAGACAGAGACTCTTACATAGACACATACAGTCTTATAGAAAAAAAATAGCTCATCCTTACCCCTGTGGCTCCTTTCAAATTATTTCTGGTCTTCATAAATTCTCTTGTTGGCTTCAAGTTTAAAAGCATATAATAATAACAAAGTCCCTGGTAGACTATGACCTTGGAGATCCGTTTTACAGTTGAGTTTTTCTTTTTTTAAATTTTCGTGCCAGTCCTGGAGCTTGAACTCAGGGCCTGGACACTGTCCCTGAGCTTTTTTTTTTTGTTCAGGCTAGTGTTCTACTACTTGAACCACAGCTCAACTTCTGGCTTTTTGGTGGTTAATTAGAGGTAAGAGACTCATGGACTTTTCTGCCGAAGCTGGCTTTGAACTATCATTCTCAGATCTATCAGCCATCTTGTGGCATTACCTGTAGTCATTGTTTTCTGAAGGAAAGCAGGCACATATGATTGACTGAGGAAACTTTTGGTTTGAAAAGCTACAGATAAGCACAAAAATGTGTACAGTCTTTGAATATCCTAAGAACTA